CCCCTCCCTGTGACTGTTCCGTCAATACTTACCTTGTTGTTGCCTTTGTTAACAGGGTTGTTGCTGGAAGATGCCACTAAACTTGTAGTAAGAAAGGGAGTATGAGAATGTGACTTTTGTGTAGCGTTCCCACAGACAACACCAATTGATGATGCACGATCTGGTGCTCCCTACTGGCTGGCAACTTGGACGCCGGACTAAGTAGGTCGCTTGGTCGAATTGCAAGAAAGAAGTAATTAGTGTCTGGGTTGCTTGACCCAGGGGGGGCACTCTAATGCTTAAGTTAGCGAGCTAGTATTTGAATGCAAGAGAGCTAGAGTAAATAGAGATCTAAATTGCGCATACCTTATGAGGTTGGAAGAGAGGCTCTTATATAGGCGAGCTATCGTGAGCCTCACAAAATGTGTCTAGGATCTATGGCCCGTCTAGTTTGGAGGTGGTTTCACGCCTAGAGGTAGACTCTGCGTAAGCGGGTATCATTTATCCAATCCCGCCTAAAGTGGGCAGTGGTGATAACCAACTCTTCCAACGTGGTGTTGTGATCCTAGGGAATTTGAAGGTGATAGCTTGCTTAAGGGGAGGTCGCTCAACACGTTTGGTAGGTTATTAACCAAAGTCGGGTCAAATCGGTGGAAGCAGGTTGCCTCTTACGCCGACCTGAGATCTTGCCAGGTTATTCGCAGTTCAGGCTACCAGAGTGGTGGCAAGGTCATCAATGCAATTGTAAAGTGCTCGAAGTGCTCCTGGGATCTACTTACATAGTGCCAAGGTGTCAATCTACTATTCTACAATAACACGTGTGATGATATTAGAAGACCAAATTACCCCTCATCACTATTCAAACACTTGAGGTTTACAAAAGACCATAAAAGTATCGACTATATTAAAAGTACAAAGAAAGAAAAGGCTACACTCAGATCCAATAAAATAGACTTGATACTTTGATACCCAATGAATTCCCTATTAAATAAATACCCAACCGGCCTGGGTCCAACTCTTCAAAGCCCATAATGCCCATTGTGAATTTTAAATTATGAGTGGACATAGATAGACCCCATGAGCCCATTAGTGTCTGTGTGGCTGCTGTGGGAAATCTCCTTATCTTCAAGGAACGGAGCATTCAAAGCATCAAACGATGAGAAACACTAATTTTCTGGTTTGGTAAATCAAATGGCTTCCAATCTCCTCAAGCTCCCGATACAAACAATCAATACTAAAAATCCTTCAGTTCCATTTCGTTTCACCAGAACTCTCCTCCCATATCACTCAATTCCTTTACATCATCGTCATCATCATCAACACCAACATTCCAATTTCTCTTTCTTCCCCCCAAATCTCCTCCACAACTCAAAATTCCCCTCTCTATCCCTCCACTGCTCGCTCTCTTCTTACGCCCCACCCACCACAAAAGAAGAAGCCATCCTCCAAGCCAAGACATGCCTCTCCACCACCTTGGAAAAGCCCCTCAACAATCCGAGACTCGCCGGGAAACTCAAGAAACAGAAACAACCCAGGTTTCGAGTGGAGATCCCTGTCATCGACGATTCCCTCGAGTCCACCGCCCAACTCGCTTTCGATGTCTTCGGAGACCTACCCATGAAAAGAAAAGGTACGCTGGTTAAGATTCTCATCTTGTGGTCTAATCCTACGCTGACAAAATTAGCTGACGAAGCCTTCCAGTCTTGCCCATCAAACCATGTCCGAGTCGACCACTGGGACATATCTTCCCTTACTGATGAGCTTACTGATGAGGATACCAGAATTTTGAACTCCGCTGATGTAGTGGTGTTTTCGGCTCCTGAGTCCTCACAAGTGGAGTTTATAAAAACGATTTCTGACAATCTGTATCCAAAGCCGGTGGTGTTTTTCAACCCCAAGTGGGCTTTTGAGGATGAGAGCGGTTTCGGAGAAATGAGTGGCTTCTTGGCGTCCTTTGAGGTGGTTTATTCGTTCATGGGTTTGGAGGTAAGAGGGGTTTTGAGTAAGAGAAAAGGAATAGTTTTCAGGTATGTGAGAGATGGGGTTTTGAGTGGTGAGAGATGGGCGGTTTGGGTTGAAGAGGAAGGAGAAATGAAAGTGATTTCTAGGTTTAAGAAACGGCCGTCGATTGGTGAGGTTGAGAACGTTTTGTATAACTTAATGGCCGTAAATTCGCCAATTACCAAGTCTGCCAAGTTTCTTAGGGATCTTGTCTCGAATGTAAGCGGAAAAAAGTGAGTATATAAGTATAACCGAGAGTTTGTGCTGTTGTTTATTCATTTTTTTTTTTTTTTTTTTTTTTTTGAGAATTGTGGCTCATTTGTGTGTTCTCAGTTTTGTTCGTCAAAAGATAACCATGGAACCACAACAACTGTTTGTTGAAATTCCTGTGAAAGGAAAAATATTGGCAGCGCCAACGATGTTCAACTGCCTTGTTTGTAGCAGATATGGAGTCCGCAACTCCGCATGTATGGCATCTAGTTCTATGAAATAAGGAGAAATAATTAGATTAGGGAGCAGAATAGGCGGTTATCAAGAGCCATCAACCATGCAATTTGGTTGGTATATGACTTTCGTTACCTGGGAGTTTATTCAAGGGGAAGGGGGTTCACAGTTCACAGTTCATTGCATTTTTGATAAATGCTATATGATTTGCATTGCTTACCGTGGGAAACGATAGACTGTCAGATGAATTTATTCGGTATTTGCTTGTGGGATATATCAATGTAACAGATGCATTTGAGATGGAAAGTGGGTCTCTGAGTTCCAATGTCCTTCCGTCAATCTTTCACCGATAGTGTTGGAAGTTTGCTTTTACTGTGAAGAGAAAATACGATTGAGAAAATATGCATGACATAAGCTTAATAATTAAGCCGAGTCCGAGGGAAGCAAGATTTATGCTTGATCAGATCGTTCTCAACAATTTTACATAGCTGTGTTCTCTCCTTATTTTATTTTAAATATTAAAAAGATGAATACAGTTTTCCTTCTGTACATGTGGACAAATGAATTTAGCTAGCTGTCAAAGGAGAGAACACAGCTATGTAGCAAGTGGGCAACACAGAACCTTTAAACCAATTGGATAGTATCTATATCCAGTGGGCAACACAAAACTTTTTAAAATAAATTAGTACATGTACGAATCTATTATTTATTTTCTATTGAAGTTCATGTCACAAAATATATGCAATTATTATATATAAGTATTATATCAATTAATTTTTATTTTTCTATTTTTAGTTTTTAACATTAAGAAAGAAATCAACTGAAGATTAATTATCAAATGTTTGGTAAATAATATTTTTATTTTTGTAAATAACAAAAATGTTATTATAAATGTAACTAAAATACCAATTAATAATTTATAAAAATATATAACCTTAACTTAAAATATCTAAAATATACTAAAATTTTTAAAATACATATCATATGCAAATTTATAATTTATAATTACTAAAATTATTATTTCATTATGAATATTTTTATTTTTATAGTTCTATGAAATACAAAATCATTTTTCATACAAAAATAGATTAGTGGATTTGACAATTTCAATTTACATTATACTCTCAAGTATTTTGTAAACAATATTTTTATTTTCGTAAATAATAAATATATTTTTGTTTAATACAAATTAAAATATTTACAAACATTTTAAGATACATATCACGTTCAAATTTATAAATTTTAAGTACTAAAATAATTATTTTATTATTAATATTTTTATTTATATAAATTTCTTGAGATTAAAAACCACTTTTTGATATAAATGTGGATTTGGGAAATTATTTATTCCATTAGTTTACAAAATATTAATTTTAAATAATAGTTTTTGATCTTTACTTGAAATTATCAAACATAAATATATGCTGTTTGTTAATAACTTAAGATTACATGTGGACATTAAAATATATACAACTTTATTTTATTTAGCTTATTATCATAAGACATATACGCTGGATAATTTGGGTTCAAATCACGCCAGTTGCAACTTTTTAAATTAGACGCATGAACATGTGAAACGCAAATCATTATCAGATGAATCGTGTGTGTATCACTCCGTATTGGCATGTATCAATCAATACAATACGATATGGTTCAATATGGATATGTATCACTTTGATACTGATAATTCAAGGGATATGGATATGGGCTTAGTAGTAGCATTTCCCGTATCCCTCGTAAATCATGATCCATACCGATACAATACGTCCCATATCGGACGTTCGTATCAATATTTAAATCTTTAACGGGCTTAATAATAGCGTTTCCCGTATCTATCATGACCGATACCGATATGATATCGTTGATGCCCCATATGGATAGGCCCTTGTAATACATTTCACAAAACTTTGAAGATCCCTTTGACTATGTAATCGGCAATCAATTCGTTTGACTTGGCATGATTTGTTTAATTAAGAGTCCATTGAATTACTTTATATGTGACCAGCACGCAAGCAGGTTTTGACTTCGGGAAACCCCTCATTCATGGATCATTGACTTAACCCAATTGTGTGCAGTAAGTAGTTTTAAAACGAAAGGGCATAGTCATTTTATCTCCCATCTCTACAGAAAGGATCAATCAGATTTTAGAGATAAGCAAACAAGAGGAGGATGGGTATGTTCCTCATCAGAATGGCACCATCAATTCATCACTTCCTTCTGCTATCGTTATTATTGTTGTCAATTAGTTCCGGCTGCTGCTGTGCCGACGGCGTCGATGACATCGGCCCTTGGGAATGTTCCTTCGTAAATAATTATACAGATGGTGATCCATTCAAGACCAATCTCGATAAACTACTGACTTCTCTCTCAGCCAATGCACCGACCACGGGCTTCTACAAAGACACAGTCGGCAATAAGTCGAACAAGGTTTACGGCCTTGTCCAATGCAGGGGTGATATTTCGGGAGTAGATTGTGCCAAATGCATCAATAACGCAACAAAACAAGTACTCCACGATTGCTCGAATAGCAAGAGAGTGCAGGTTTGGTTGACCAAGTGTTACCTGCATTATTCAGATGAGAATTTCTTTGGCAATTTAGGTATGTCGTCGGGATCCATGGCTGTAAGCTATTCAACAGATTATGACGATGCTTTTGTGGCTTTACAAGGAGTGACGTTGATGACTAAACTTGCAACTACCACTCCAAATCAGGCGCTGATGTTCCAGACAACAATCATTGATGCTGGCAAAAATGGGAAAAGGTATGGCATGGCTCAGTGCACAAGAGATCTGAATAGGGCCGACTGTGGGAAATGCTTGGACAAACTAATGCTCGATCTGGGTTCAAGCAGCTACAACAAACGAGGATGGGAGATTTTTACAATGAGTTGTCGTATGTGGTACAACGATTACCAACTCTTCTCCGCCAACTATTCCTTGCCTTCCAATCGAGGTGACATCTTTCGTCTTTAATTTCCTTTTTTTGTTATTTTTATGTCATTTTTTAATATGATTTTAAAAACTTATCTGCAAATGAAACCGTTTTAACTACCGATTCTTGGGTCAAATGATCTTATCATCTGGTCCGAATCCTGGTTAGATGATTTTTAGGTTCAAACTGGACCCAAAGACATGACTGTTCGTGAGTCAAGCGGTCAGATCGTTTAGTCCGATCCAGTTTTCAAAATCATGATTTTTACTGATATTCTGAATATGTATTGGCATTAGACCTGTTTATGGGCCAACTAACCCGATGGACTCACTGGTCTGGCCTGTTCTTTATTGGATTTGAATAAAATTTTAAGCCTGCAGGTTCGGGTTCAGGCTTTCTCAAACAAGTCTAGGCCAATAATATTACGTATAATAAAAATATATATTAATAATAATATATACTAATTAATTAAATTATTATCAAATAAATATAATATAATTTATTCAAATTATACATAACTGCACCAGACTTCAGGCTTGTACTTGACTTAGGCCTGAATATTTTCTATTAATAAAGAGATAAATCCCGGTCCACACCCAACTCGTCAACAGGTCTAGTTAGCATGATAGGTTTATAGGTAGAACACTGTCATAGTTGGCCTGGTTTCTGTACCGGTGTTATGACGGGTCTTGCGCCTGAAACTTCGGGGGCATAGTTCAGGAAAATTTATATTAAGAGTTTCCTAGACTATATTGCTATTGGATCTCTGCAAATGAAACCTCTTCACACATGCTACTGCATGTACAGCATGTACAGGCATCCGGTCATACATTGAGAATATTAATTAATTTAACACGCATGTACAGTAGATATTCTTCTGATGTATCGCCAGATGATGTGTGTATATATATATCAATGCTGCAGATGCAGCACTGTATTCTGATGTGTGGGTTGCTGATATGTGGATTGGAAGTATTGTTTTCTGAAAAAATGGTGTTTTTTTTTTTTGGAATAGTTGCTGTCAGATAGGACATTTTTTGGAGCAACAATAATGTTTTCTGTTTGGTACCAATGCTCCATGAAACATTTTCAACACTGACACTCATTATCCACTGCCACATCACTGTCATCTCACATCCTGTAGCTCCAGAAAATGCCAAATTCGGCATTACTCCAAGCAATGCCTTCCAGATTTCTAAGTTGTGGCTTAGAGTACCGTTTTTAATGGAAAAGGGTTCCAAACAAACACCCATTTCTTGGAGCACCATTTTTTCCGATGTAACGCTGATGTAGCACCGTTTTCTGGAGCAATGGCAATGATGCCAAATAGACACATAGAGTCTTGCAATAGATCCAAGTTAATTGGCATGGGGAATTAAAACCATACTTCTTCGACAATCTTTCCTCATGTTCCCTCAACTTTTGGTTTCTCTCATTTTCTATCAAAAGAAATAACAAAACAACACCTACCCTAGAATCTTTGATACAATTGTTATCATAATTATTCTTTGTTTAGTTCTCTTAATTTTATTGTAACTATTTCTTTTCTTACCATTTTTGGTTTAGGTACAAGGAAGGTCTTATCTCAAAGAGTTCAAGTTTCCTTAATTGCTTTCTTGATGCTTATGGTGCTAAATGTTTTCTAATCGTTTATACTATGTTTGTGTAAAGTTGATGAAAATCTCTTATTTTTCTTGTACATTTTCATATTATTTACTCCTATTTGTTGTATATTTCAAGTAATATATAATCCAATTGAAATTGAGATTGTGAGCTAGGCTTTGCAGTAAGATAGATGGCCTAACTAAAATGTATAGCCAAAGAACATTCCATTGAAATACTGAAATTCTATTTTCTTTCTTCTTTCTAAGGAGTTTAATCCTACATATATGCTTCCAAAGAAGCCTTCTTCTTTGCGTGGTTGTTGATGTAACCGTTTCTGGTCACGTACCAATTTTTTGTGATGTATAAATTTTTTTTGGTTAAGTACCTCGTTATTTGACCCAGTGGTGACGTGCTTTGGTGATGAGCTACTTGGTGGCAAACTCCCTGGTGAACTACCTAGTGGCGAGCTCCCTGGTGGAGAGCTACTTGGTGACGAACTGCTTGGTGGCGAACTACCTGGTAGCGAACTCCCTGGTGGCGAACTGCTTGGTGGCGAATTGCCTATGGGAGAACTGCCTTGTGGACTCGTCATTTGATCTGCTCCTAGGCGGCCTACAACTCAGAGGATGGTGGAGCTCCCTGGTGCAGCGCAACCCGATTGCCCTTTGCATGAGGTGATTTCCTCTCCTTTGTAGGCGGTGGGAGCTGAGGGACCTGCGAGAACCGAATAAGAGGATCCTAGGGTATTTTCCCGGCGGGGACTCTCCGATGCCTAAGTTAGCATTCTGATTACAGAGAGCTTGGAGAGAAATGAGAGAACTAGAGAGCAAGGGTTACCATCCTTTCCCCCCCTCCCCGTTGGGGGGTGAGGTCTTTATATACCGGAGTCCTTGCGGGTTGGGTGGGTGAAAAACCTCCAAACGGTAAGACTCGTCACATCCCGTTAGAACTGGGGTACGGTGGTGAACTCCTCGAGGTCGTCAGGYTGGCGCTTGTGTCAGGCGGCCAGGTCGGCGCCTGGGCCAGGTTATCAGGGCGGTGCCTGCGTCAGTCGGCAGGTCGGTGTCTGGGCCTGGTTGTCAGGTCGGCGCTTGTGTCATTCGACGGGTCGGTGTCTGGGCCAGGTTGTCAGGTCGGCGCTTGTGTCATCTGACGAGTCGGTGTCTGGGCCAGGTTGCCAGGTCGGCGCCTGTGTCAGTCGGCAGGTCGGTGTTTGGGCCAGGTTGCCAGGCAGGAGATCTTCCTGCGATACTTGGGGACAAACTGCTTAGTGGCGAGCTGCCTAGTGGCGAGCTGCCTAGTGGCGAGCTGCCTATGCAATGCCGAGTTGTCTAAGTTGCCAGGCTGAGGGTGAGCTGCCTGTGGCGAGCTGCCTATGGCGAGCCGCCTGTGGCTAGCTGCATGTGGCGAGCTGCCTATGGCAAGTTGCCTATGGCGAGCTGCCTATGGCAAGCTGCCTGTGGCAAGATGCTTATGG